AATTCTGAAAGACACACAATCAAAGGAAGAAAAAACAATATTTTTATGTTGGTTGAATTCCTGGCTAAGGAGATCCCATTTTTATAATCTATAAAAGTAGGCTGGTTAACAACCTCCCTGGATGGTTACAGCCTTGAGGGGAGGCACTGTGAGTTTTTCATTTTTGCAACTTTTGTGTCTAGTAGAGACTATATGAAATAGTAAGTTTCAATAGCTAATGTTGAATAATTTAAATGAGCACAAGGGTATAAATCTATGTTCTGTTATAATTACCAAAAGGAGAGCTTTCTTTGCATACTTTTTATATAAATTCATGTGCCATTCAGTGCAGCTGAAATGCTTTCTTCTGATAACCTTTTAAATTTTACTGCATTAAAATTTACTTTAATCTGGATTTGTAAAGATAAAAGGCTTGCAATCTGCAAATAGAAGATCAGAATATTCATAGTCAAAGGACAGAAGCATCATAGCTGACATTCAAATTTTGCTTCCTCCTTGCTACTGTCTACTAAGAATGACTGACCCTATAAACTTGGAAGTGCAATGATTATGTGACCATTTCCCTTTCCTGATCTTTAGGAGACAGAGTGCACAGAAAATTCACATGATTCATAGCTATATAAATAATAGTAAAACACTGTTTTCTGCTGAAACACAATGTCTAATTAATTTAACAATAAAAAGAATGTCAAAATATATCAAGGCAAATCTACTCCTAAAAGAGAAAAGCTTAAAAATTAGAGTACATATTAAGAACAAGGAAGTTCACTTGAGGTTGTTGCTTCTTTTGGGGCCGAAACAATGTGCCAGAAAAATTCTTTTTACTTTGCCAGTTAGTACATTGTTTTGATTTATAAATGAAATCTGAGAAGGAAACCTCAAGTCAAGTTTGATTTTCCCAGAATAATCAGATACCATTCATTGTCTGAAAATTAATACCCATGTAAAACATCCACAAAACTGAAGTAACTGTTAAGTTCATGGCAGACAAATGCAGTAGGTTATCAAAATAGGACCTGTAAGTCCCTAGGAACCCCTGGGAAAAGAGAAACTTGGAACAAATAGGTATTTCTTATCTCAAGATTTATGTAATAGAGGCAAGCATTTTGGGTTTTTTTTTAAAGATACATAACACCAAGCTGAATATTGCCATTCTGAACTCATGAAATCACATTGCAACTGGATTCGTTTTGTCATTCTGACGGGGTAACATCTCACATTTATTATTTAGTATGTGCCAGGCAGCCCTCCATGTTGTTGCATTTAATCCACAAACATTTAATTGATGAATCTTACCCCCATTTCACAGATAGAAAATGAAACCAGAGAAGTTAAGTGTTCTGCACACGGTCATAGTGAGGTAAGGACAAAGTTCCTATGCAGGTCTGTCTGACTGAGAAAAAAAAAGCTCTTTTCTTTACCTGATGGTATCTTAAACTATTTTAAACTTTGACTGGTGGCTTATCAGGGCATCTGCAGCAGCTGTTCTAGAATTCATCTCTTCTCAGGTCCTCTGCATCCCCCTTCACCTCAATCTAGGCAGAGGAGCAAGGCTCAGTCACTCCGAGCTCAGACCAAGATCAAATCTCCTCTACTTCCCTCCACTTCACCTCAAGCATTCTCTACTGCTCAATTTTCTTACATCCAATTTGTCTGCCACTCACCTGTGAGGGCAGTCCCTGAAGTCAGCAATGACTTCTCTGTCCCTAAGACTAAGATTGTTTATCAGTTTTCATGTTCTCCTTTCATTTGAGTCCTTCCAGAAGAAGATCCTGAGGCAGCTTTGAGTTTGAGAGCACTATTGTTCTTAAATGATTCCAGGAAATATTACCAGCGCAATGATGGAGACAGTCAATAAATCTTTGCTGTCAGGTAACTTTCCCCTGAGAATAACTTAAAGTCAAGCATGCAGGGAAACTGGCATAGCCAGTGTGGCATAACTTGAAGTCAAGCTCATACCTCAGAGTTACCCTGCTCACGGCCTCAGGGAGTTGGAGCACTTATATGCTAAGTCACATCAACTGGTTGAGGGCTTGGGAGGAAATTTCTCTGACACTATTGGCCTGTGGTGTGAGCCAAGACAGCAGGTTCTGGTGATCAAAGAAAGCTCTCAGGCGAAATAATGCAGGTGCTGGCAGTGGGAATTTGAGCCGCCATGCACCAATCTGGTTAGTGTGAGTGGATACAGGACGATGCTGACAGTGTATGTTGCATGTTACTTAAAAGTATTTACAGTGTTTGCAATTGATGATTATTTTCTTTTTATAAAAATCCTGTTTCCCCTTCTACTCCTCTACACACTCCTTTGTTTTCATATCTACATTCTTTTCCTATTGCCACCACTTAAATATAGACATTTTCCAAGCATCTGTCCATGATTCTTCTCATTTCAACCCATAACAGTGGTAGCCTCCTGGTTTCTCTATCAGTGCAGATGATCCCAAAATCTATAACTCAATTCTAACCCTGTTTTCCTGTCCCAAGAAGCAATCCTCCAGTTTAAACCATCATGTAGGACGCTCCCTCTTCATTTAGCACTTCAGGATATCCAACATTGACCTTATGCTCTCCCTTAGAAAAACTTCGTATTTGAAAAACTACTTATATATTCTTTCAAGTTGAGTTGTCAGAAAATTCCTCATCATCTTTAACACATCGATTTTCTATCCCCAACATTCAGTCAATTACCCTATCCTGTGAATTCTCTCCCCACAATATCTCTTCTCTGCTTCTTCCTCTGTAATTTCGACTCAGGGATTCAGACATAGGGATTTCATTATCCTTGACTTGGTCTACTTCAATAACCTCCAGAATGCCTTTTTCTAAAAGAATTTCCCATGTCAGCTGTTGTTAAATTGATTTTTGTAAAGCACAGTTCTGACCATGTCCTTTACCCCTCAGAAGTCCTAGAAGACTCCCTATTGCTTACAGAATATTGCTGTTACAGAGAACATTAGCTCTAGGTCAGTCTAAATTTCTGCCTCACTGCTTACCAACTGTGTGTCATTGATCAAACTATTACACTTTGTGAGCTTCAGTTTCTTATCTATAAATGGAGCATAATGATACCGTGTTAACAGTGGTGTTACCTGTATGACCAGTCTGTAAACCAACCAGCACTGTGTCAGGCTTGCTATAGGCACTCAGTAAACTTTAGATTAGCTTACTGGCAATGTAACAGTTCACTTAGATCATGTTCCCTCTTTTTCCAAGATTCATTAGCCCGGCATTAAAAGTCCTTCAGAATTTATAAATGGAATATAAAAATTACTGCACAAATTAAAAGCAAACAGATTCAAGAAGTATATAGATGATTGCTTATTTGTCTAATTATGGGAAAGAGCCTACTAGACGTAAAAGCAAATGAAGAAGCAACAGCAACAAACTGATGGTTTGGAGTACACCATTTTTAAAGGAGAACTGTATATTAAAAATGCCAAAAATGAAGTGAATGATTTGAAAAAAAAAATATATGTTACACATAGTAGGCAAAAGTTAATGGCCTTCCAGTACAAAAGGTTCTTACAAATTAATAAGAAAATACAAACACCACAATAGTAAAATTTACAAAGAACATAAACTGGTAACTCAATGTGAGATAATATATGATCAATAGATATTAAAAACGTGTAGCCTCAGAAATAACTGAAGTAATAAAAATTAAAATGCCACACTAGCCAGGCATTATTTAAATTATTCTACTCAGCTTTAATCATTCTTCCTGTACCCTCCACTCATGTTCCTAATTCAGTCTCTGAATCTGCATAGAAAAGAAAAATCCTTATATCAAGTATGTCCTTTCAGCTAATTCAAGAAATGTATTATTTTATCCGTTTGGACTCTCTGCCTACTAATGGTCACTTCCTTCAATGACTACTTACATTACTTCGTTAGAAGCCCGTTTACCATTTCAGCATCCAGAAATGATGCAAACTGCCAGAAAATATTTGACTATAGTACTCAGATTTGAAAATAAACACTCTTGGTATAATGTGAGCAGAATAGGTCAGACATATATTTAAATTAGTGGTTCTCAACTGGGAGCAATTTTGTCCTTTAGGAGACATTTGGCAATGTCAGGAAATATTTTCAATTGTCACAACTGGAGTAAGGGGATTTGTTACTAGCATCTACCAAGGATGCTGATTAACATCTTGCAAGGTACAGGAAAGTCCCCTCCCTCCACCAACAAAGGATTATCTAGTCCAAAATGGCAATAATGCTATGGTTGAGAAGCCCTGATTTAGATATGATTTAAGTAATACTGTGTCCAAAGAAAAGAAGCAAATGTTTATATTCTAAATTCTAGGTAATTTTTTTTTCAGAGAGTGGCGTTCTCTACACCTGAATATTATCTGACTTTGAAAAAGATTACTCTCTGCATAGTTAAATGGCCATTAAGAAATTTCCCACTGGAAAAGTGCTGGCCTCAGCTATGATTACCTTGCGCAGATGTTACTCTCTTCACGAATACATCTGCATTCAGTTAGAGAGATTTACTCATTTACCTCGTAATCTTGCCTATGGCATTACTTTATACTTATGTTTCCATAGTGATATACAGACTTTAAAAGGAAATTGGTTTTACATCCTAGGGATAACAAAGCAACAGTTTGGAGTTAAATAGATTTGAATGGCCGAGTTCTTGCCAAACATTCTTCTAAAAATTATTCTACCTGAAAATTACCTTAATTATTTGACTGGGAGGAAATAATATAATGTAAGATAAATGAAAATCACATGTACTAACCTTTCTGTGCCATGTGCATAAAGAATCAGAATCAGAATCACAGTATTAATTTACCATGTCATAAATACTATTTCCCTGACTTTGGGCAAAAACTCATAATAATATGGAGAAATGTGTGTATGTATTCTTAAAAAAAACAAAAGCTGAGACCAAAACAAAAATTTACTTTAAATCGACGGTCTTCTTGTGAAACCTTGAATGTAAAAAATTTCCAGGTGTCTCGATTCTAAAGGAATTGGAGGGGAGCAGCCAAGATGGCGGAGCAGAAGGACGCTCGGAGCTCACCCTCTCCCACAGATACACCAAGAGCAACATCCACGGACACACCCGTTGACTCAGAATGCCTGCCAAACTTTGACAGAACATCACCTTCTTCAAAAGACAAAATTCGTCACAAATCTGGTAGGAAAAAAAAAAAAGGAAAAGGAAATTAGTGCAGGACGGGTCCCGCGGGGAGGGAGCGGCAAAGGAGGACTAGCGCTCGTTGGCTGGGGCTCCCCTCTCCAACGGAGAGGCCAGTGGGACGGAGGGGGAGCCTCCGAGGCTCGGATCTGTGCAGAACAGCCCTTGGCCGACAGAACTAAGTTAAATGGGCACAAAGGGTCCCTGCAACCCTCAGACCGAGACACAAACCGGCAGGGCTGTGACTAGACAGGCTGCCCGAGACGGGCGGAGGACTGGCGCCGGCTGCAGAGGCCACCTGGGGGGACTGCAGTGCGCCGTGGCTGGGAGGGTACACAGAGCAGAGCCACCTGGGTCCCCCATAAAATAGAAAAGAAAGCAACACCGCTGGTGCGCACTGAGGGGAGGGGTGCCGTGGGCTTTGTCTCCACAGACCTGCCGCACCGCGCCGGGCGCGCTCTCGGGAGGAGAGAGGCGGGGCTCGGCCGCAGCCGCCATAGGCCCTGGTGCGCGGCTCCTGGGTGGAGGCGGGGTGCAAACCTGAATGCACACTTAGGGGCGCTGCAACCTCATAGAGGGGACTGAGATTTGTTTACAGCCCCAGGCAGGGGGGACGTTCTGCTCCATGGGCGCCTTTGTGGGCCCATGCCTCTAAGACAGACGTTCTGAGGTACAGTGGGGGTGAGGGCTGGTGCGGCCACTTTCCGTGAGCCCGTCTACTTTGCGCGGGCGCGGCGCTGGGGGCGGCGCTGACCGGTGGCGCCACCCACGGCCCTCTGGAAAGAGCGAGCAGAGTTTGCGCAGTGGGGGGAGAGCAGGAGCTGTGTTTGGCGTTGGAAATGGCGCTGACCCGGTGGCAAGACCCACGGGCCTCTGGAACGAGTGAGCAGAGTTTGCATAGAAGGGCAAGTGCAGGAGCGCATTTGGCACTGGGAATGGTGCTGTTCCAACGGTGTGCCACAATACAGGTGTGCGACCCAGAAATCGTCTTTATGGCACTGGTAGCCCTGAGGGCAGAGAACCTGGGGGACACCAGAGCAGTGCACTGACATTCCCACAGCTAAAGTAGAACAAGAGCAGAGTCAACAAAGAGTACTTAAAGTGCTCCAACCCCTCCTATTATGCACTGCAGCTAAGAAACGGGTCTGGACGCCTCCATTCCAACAAAAGGGGACCAGAAAGGCCCCTGTCAGGGCTGTGAAAACCACAGAACAAAAAGAGGCCCCACTCAACAGCCAGGGCAGGCTCTATTACAGAAATAGAACATACCATAAGAGAATACTATAAACAACTATATGGAAACCAACTGGAAAATCTAGAAGAAATGGACAAGTTTCTGGAAACATACAGTACACCAAGACTTAACCAAGAAGAAAAAGACTGCTTGAACAAACTAGAAATGAAATAGAATTAGCAATAAAAACCTCCTTGCAAAGAAAAGTCCGGGACCAGATGGCTTCACTGGGGAGTTCTACCAAACATACAAAGAATTCATACCGGTCCTTCTCAAACTCTTCCAAAAGGAAGAAAAGGAGGGTGTACTCCCAGACTCATTCTATGAAGCCATCATCACCGTGATTCCCAAACCAGAGAAAGACACTACCAAAAAAGAAAATTACAGACCCAATATCACTGATGAACGTAGATGCAAAAATCCTCAACAAAATATTAGCAAACAGAATCCAACAGCACAAAAAAAAGATCATACACCATGATCAAGTTGGATTCATCCCAGGGACCCAAGGATGTTTCAACATATGCAAATCAATCAACATGATATACCACATCAACAAGAGAAAGGACAAAAGTCATATGATCATCTCAATGGAGGAAAAGCTTTTGATAAAATTCAACACCCACTTATGATAAAATCTCTCACCAAAGTGGGTATAAAGGGACCACATCTCAACTTAATAAAAGCTATTTATGACAAACCTACAGCCAGCATAGTACTCAACAGTGAAAAACTGAAAGCCTTCCCACTAAAATCTGGAACAAGACAAGAATGCCCCCTTCACTACTTCTATTCAACATAGTATTGACCTATGGTCAATTAATCTTCAACACAGGAGGCAAGAATATACAATGGAGAAAAGATAAGTCTCTTCAGCATGTGGTGTTGGGAAAACTGGATAGCAGCATGTAAATCAATTAAGTTAGAACACTCCCTCACACCATACACAAAAATAAACTCAAAATGGCTTAAAGATTTATATATAAGACAAGACATAATAAACCTCCTAGAAGAAAACATAGGCAAAACTTATCTGACATAAATCTTAGCAATGTTCCCCTACAGCAGTCTACCCAGGCAATAGAAGTAAGAGCAAAAATAAACAAAGGAACCTAATTAAACTTACAAGCTTTTGCACAGCAAAGGAAACCATAAGCAAAACAAAACAACAACCTATGGAATGGGAGAAAATATTTGCAAATGATGTAATGGACAAGGGCTTAATTTCCAGAATATATAAACAGCTCATATAACTTAATAAAACAACCCAATCCAAAAATGGACAGAAGACCTAAACAAGCAATTCTCCAATGAAGACATACAAATGGCCAATAGGCACAGGAAAAATGCTCAATTCACTAATTATTAGAGAAATGCAAATCAAAACTACAATGAGGTGTCACCTCCCACCAGTCAGAATAGCCATCATCAAAAGTCCATAAATGATAAATACTGGAGAGAGTGTGGAAAAAAGGGAACCCTTCTACACTGCTGGTGGGAATGTAGTTTGGTGCAGCCATTATGGAAAACAGTATGGAGATTCCTCCAAAGACTAGAAATAGACCTACCATATGACCCAGCAGTCCCACTTCTGGGTGTATATCTGGAGGGAACTCTAATTTGATAAGATACATGCACACCAATGTTCATAGCAGCACTATATACAATAGCGAAGACATGGAAGCAACCTAAAAGTCCATCAACAGGTGATTGGATAAAGAAGTTTTGATATATTTATACAATGGAATACTACTCAGCCATAAAAAGGATAAAATAACGCCATTTGCAGCAACATGGGTGGACTTAGATATCATTCTAAGTGCAGTAAGCCAGAAAGAGAAAGAAAAACACCATATGATATCACTCACATGTGGAATTGAAAAAAAGACAGTATGAACTCATCTACAAAATGGAAATGGACTCACAGACATAGTAAACAATCTTATGGTTGGTTGCCGGGGAAGGGGGTGAGAAGGGCTAAATTTGGGAGTTTGAGATTTACAAATGTTAGCTACTATATATAAAATAAGTTTTTTTCTATATAGCACAGAGAACTATGTTCAATATCTTGTAATAACCTTTAATGAAAAAAATATGAAAATGAATATATCTATGTATATATATGACTGGGACATTGTGCTGTACATCAGCAGTTGGCACATTGTAATTGAGTGTACTCCAATAAAAAATTTAAAAAATAAAGGAATTGGACACCATGACTCACAGGAGCAGTGGACGGCAGGAAAAGAGGGAGTCAGAGAAGCAAAACCAGAAGTGGAGTCATGGTGCCCTTTATTCCTTTCCTAGCAATAGTGAATGGTGCACTCCTGCAGCACTAGCTCACCATATGACAAAGTGACAGTCAAGCAAAAAGGTATCAGAAACAATGAATTTCAAAAAACTTGTGATAAAATACAAGCTACTTGGATTCTTTCAGGAAGAGAAGGACGTTTTGATGATGGGTAACTTGGAGCCCCAGTAATGATGTTGTCAATTTTTAACTGCATTGTGATTTACCTTCAAGTCCAGCAGAGAAGTAAAGTGACCTGGAAGATACTTGTATGCATTTATAAAACTATTATCAGATAAAACAAAAATGCCAGTGACTTAAGTTGTCATTTGAATTGTGATATTTGGACCTTAGAAATAATAAACTAATATTTCACCTATTTGCCTAGTTGAGCTTTTATCATTACACTTGGCCCTTGAGCAACATGGGTTTGAACTGCATAGACCCACTTTTACAGGGATTTTTTTCAGTAAATATGTCGAACAGTACAACATGATCTATGGTTGGTTGAATCCCCAGATGTGGAGGGCCGACTGTAAAGTTACACACCAATTTTCAGCTGCAAAGGGTTGTTCAGCACTCCTAACCCCCATACTGTTCAAAGGTCAACTGTATTTAGTATGATTTTACCTAATACTCATAATACAGATAATTGAAAAACATGACCCTTTTTATAAGTGGAATTGTGCCCCTCCCAAATTCGTCTGTTGAAGTCTTAACTCCCAGTACCTCAGAACATGCCTGTATTTATGGATAGTGTCTTAAAGAGGCAATTAAGTTAAAAAGAGGTCATTAAGGTGTGGTCTAATCCAATATGACCAGTGACCTCATAAGAAGAGGAAATTTGGACACAGAAACATACAGAGGGATAATGAAGATACAGGTAGAAAGCAACTATCAACAAGCCAAGGAGAAAGAATTCAGAATAAACAATTGCCATCACCTTGATCTCTGACTTGTAGGCTCCAGAATTGTGAAAAAATTAATTTCTGTTGTTAAGCCACCCCGTCTATGGTACGTTTTTGTGACAGCCCAATCACACAATGTTCAAACAAGCTTTCCAAATGGTGACTTCTTAAAGGAATCTCCTAAAATTTCAATTTACATAGTGTATTTATTCTTAATAACTTAAAACCTTTCAATTAATTGTTATTTCTGATTTCAGAGGCCCAGTTTAGAGTTTTACATTAAGGTATAATTTACATACAGTAAATTTTTCTTTTCCAGTGTACGGTTTTGTGAGTTGTGACTGGGTCAAGTCCAGAAACTGGGCAAGGGATTATAGCTGTTTGTTGGGATGGTTGCCTTCTGCCTTTCGAGCACCCATGATGATTTCTTTTAGTTTATGAATTAAGCTCCACACGTGTTGGACTCCTGTGCATCTTTCTCCTGGGACTACTGCATTCTGCTACCTACCTGTGTACTCTCTGTAGGTCAGACGCCTTGGATCTACTACTTGCCAATAATAATAATTGCATCCACTTTGCTTCTGATAGATAAAAGCTGACTTATTATTTTAGGTTCCTATCATCTTCATTGCTGTCAGGGAGCCTTTTATTACCGATAGTCCTGGCCACCAGAGGAGAACCCACCGCAAGGATAAAGGCAGTCCTAGTACCAGTGCATTTCTTACTGCTTTAGTTAGAGGAGTCTCCTGCCAGTTTTCTTACATGACAAAGGTGGCTCCTGTGTGTTCTGGGGCCTCTTACTATGCTCACTTTTATGAGCTTTTTTATTCTGTTTTCCACTATCTGCCATAATAATTCTGGTAAGCAGACTTCACTTAATGTGAACCATTGATTTTTCACTTATTCTAAGAGTCTTAAGAGGTATTGCAACAGCCAAGGACAATCCCTTCTACAGGCATCTCATCCCAGTTTGTCATCAGTAAAATTTTAGCAGTTACACCACTGTAGCATGCTAGGAGCAGTCACTGCCATCAGTGATGGAATCTTTATTTCCAGCTGGTGTTCCATCTACAAAATCCTAATTTTGTGCCTGCCTTTAGAACATTCCCAGGAATCAGATTCTAAGACGGATATTTGTGTGCAGGAAGTGTTTTGAGGAGTTCTCCCAGGAACATACTGTAAGGGGAGGAGGGGAGTAGGATCAGGCAGAAAAAGAAGCTGAAACACAAGGTAGTCGCATCAGAGACCCTGCTTAATACCATGAGGAACTCTGAAGCTGTGGTGACCCTTTGAACTGAGGAAAGGGTGCCAAGCCATTTTATCCAGCTTCAATTAGTTATTGGATGTAGATTAGTTCCAAGAAGGGGCTAAGCTTGAGCAAGACAGCTCCTTTGATTGAAGGTAGGTCCTGAAGAGGGTCTCAGCTTTTGAGCCACCTGTAGTGAACACTTCTGTCTGTTGGGGTATCAGAACTGAACAATGATATGGGCAGCTCATCACAACATCCATTTGCCATACAGTTTACATTTAAAATAATGTAAACAGTCATTTCAGAATCCCTAAAGCTTTCAATGAAATAGAATATAGCTGTTTCTTTTAATATATTTGATGTAAATGTGGTAATTTATTATTTGCTTGCTAATTACTATGCCAGATACTATGAATGTTTTTACTCTGATTTGAGAATTGGATTTAATGTAGAGATTCATCTTCACAAGAGTGAAAGTAATTACAGTGAATAGACTTTATTTTCTAAAAAAGAAAAAAGAAAGTTAAAATTATTTGTAAAAACAGAAGTTATCTTATATTTTTAAGTCATTACTGTTTAAAAATGTCCCGAACCATTTTTATTAACTATATGTATAAATATTACAACCCTTTTATTAACTTTGATATAAACATTAACAGTAGAATGAAAATCTAACAATTTAAAAGGCCTGAGATTTGGCACCAGTTAAATTCATGGTGATTTTAGCACTTATATCAATATAGTCTTTGATCCATGATTAACTAGCTGTGTAAAAATTATTTAACTGTTCAGTCACTGTGGTTAAATCGCCTTTTAAGATCAGAGAGATTTGATTTTGAGGAGAAGGTTGTTAATTTCTATATTTTTGCTTAAAAAAATGATTATTTTGTTTTATTTTGTAATGAATATCGAAATTGTCTGGTTCCATTAACCTACCAATATTATAGACTAGGGACTAGATTATTGATCTGTTATATGCAAAATTCCTGATCTGTCATCTGTAATTGTGAACACACATTCCTTTGGTTCAAAGATTTCTATAATCCTCACTGTTTCATCACCTCTGATAGAAATAGCCTTCAAATAGCCTCATTTCTGTGTGCATCTGTCTTAACATGAGTGTGAGGAACTAGTCCACTAGTTAACCCTACCACTAACAAAACAAAACAGAAACTACATAAACTAAAATATTTAAAGCAAAATTTTTATTACTCAGCTATGGTTTAAATTGTTGTCAGCAATTGAACATTTGATTAAAAATTTCTAGCTAATCTGTAGTAGCAAAACTACATTCAAAGTATAAACATTTCTTATGCTTATTCTAATTTATAACTTGGAACTAACAGTAGTTATAGTTGAGTATATATTTTGCATATTCACTATGCAATAGACAGTTTCAATATATGGTATATGTTATATGATATATGACATGGTATATTACATATATTGTATATTAACTATGATATAATAATCAGTAATAAATTATATAAATACACTTGTATGTGATTATATATATTAAGTTCAGTATTCACCAGCTATGCTGGTTATCCCTGTTTTACAAAATAATACACAAGTTCTTAGAGAGGCTTTGTAGATTGACTAAATTATAAGTGACAGAACAAGGATTTGAACCAACATGTGTCCAACTTGAAAGCTCTTATTCTTTATGATGTATGATTCACAAGTAAGGTTTGCTTCCTTAGTATTTGGGCCCTGTTATCTTCCCTTGGACATTGATCTTTCTAGTTATCTACAGTGTGCTTGGGATTCCTGAGAGATATGGCATAGTATTTATTATTAGGTAGAACTTTTGGGACAACAGATTGTTGGAGAAAAAGAAGTTTGGCTACTTTGATCCTCCCATCAAATGCTCCAGGGCAGCAGTGGTATGTAGAACTCCACTTCATCCAAAAAGTGTAGTTATGGAAGGAGGATAAATAGCAAAATTATATACATAGTGACAGATTCTTATGTATGTATACAAAATTAAGAAAGTATGTGGGGTGAGGTATCAAGACATCTGTTCTGAAGCTAAGTAAAGTAAATGCTAGCAGCTGGACAAAAAGTAAGTCAAATAGTCCCTGACTCTGTTAGAATAACATTTTCAAAGTATTTTCCCTGAACTGTGAATTTTTAAGCTGATGATTATTTGACTGACAAACGTCCAGTTTAGTTTTGTGTGCACACCACCTGAGTCACAGGAAAGAGAAATAAAATGTCTACTTCTGTTATTTTAAACCCCATAGGAAACTATTGCCACACTGTAGAGAAAGTAATCCATTATTTGCCCAGGAAAAACAATCAGATCATTTTAAAGCAAAATGCTGTTTGCTTTCCACTTACTGTATCTCAACATTTTGACTATAAACACATTGATATAATCCTAACTTTCAAGGAAGAAGCCTCCCTACTATTTATAATAGCCAATAAATATATCTGGTGAGATAGAAAAAAAGAGAAAAAAATGAGTAGAATAAAAATATCCTCAGAGCACCTATACCAATATAAATATTCCATATAAAGTCATTTCCCTTTGGTGACATTTTATCATACTTTGTATTTAAAAATAGAATTGATATCACTTACAAGAAAGTTTGCTTCCCTGTACTTCGATAAAGAAATTAAACAAACATGTCTTTTAAGACTCGCTAAAGTGAGATTTATTTATACATGTTTTAAAAGACCTTCCAAGATGACTTTATTCGTTCAATTAGCCCTTATTGAGCTGTACTGCACATTTCATCATGGTTATGAGGCTGCGCTCACCCTGCGCTCCACTGCTTATTAGCCCTGGAAACTTGGCCAAATTACTTACTGTCTTGGAGCATCTTACATTTCTTCTTATAAAACTGAGATAATATATTTACCTCATAGCATTGTTGTGAGAGTTAAATGAGAACATATGGAAAGAACTTAGAACAGTAAAAGCTATTTCTTACTAAAAGGGCAAAGGGAAACCTTTCCAGACATTTTAGCTGCCATGTGCCAGCCGTTGTACTAAATGCTAGGTTGCCCGTGTGTATCATAGACAGGAAGGATGCAGTGTCTGCCCTCAGGGGTTTGTGGGATAGTGGAGTGTTCAGAAAACGTATGGAGTGACAAGGGCTCTGACAGAGATGCCCAGAAAGTAGCTGAAAGTCTCCATGACTCTGGATTTGAGAAGAAAGGAGTTAGACATTCAGATTCAAGAACTACGCAGGCTAGTGTTATTTCCAAAATAGCACAGCATACTGGGAAGAAGTCAATCTTGGCTCTGTCAGCAACTAAAGGAATATAAGTCATGTAAACTTTCCACATTTTCTGGACTTTATCTAAACTCTAAACTAACTCTAAACTAACATTTTCCATATAGTGAGAAGTTTCCATATAGTGACATTCTTTTCCTCTTTGCTCTGAGGTTTGGTCTTGAGGTAATGGCATGGCATCTGAAAATGTTTACTATTTAATTGCATTTTTCTTGAATATATGATTGCTCAATATGTTGGTTGTTTCAACTTAGTTACTGTCATGGTAAGCTTTTTATAGTTATATTGGCTGACACGTATTCTGAATTTGCAAAGCACCTAGGATATCAGTTCTCAAAATGTGGTTCTCAGAACCCTAAGGGTTCCAGAGACACTTTCAGAGAATCCATGAAGTCAAAGCTATCTTTTAACACTAATAAGACACCTTGTCTTTTTCATTATATTGACATGTGCACTGATAATACAAAAGCAATGCTAGGATGGTAGCTTACCCTGAATCAAGACAATGGCCTGAAACTGTACTGGTGGCCATTGCATTCTTCACTACCAGGCACCAACAGGGTGGCCAGTGTCCTTTAAAAATATCCTTGATTGAAGCATAATAATTATTAATTGTATTAGATTTTACCCTTGGTGTCTTTTTAATATTTTGTGTGATGATTAAAAAAAAAAGGTAAATGTATAGAATATGCCATGTGTTCACTGTTGATAGGCTTTAAGGAGACAGCTAGAACAGGAAAGGCTGCAGTGAGTGCCTGAAGGCAAGAGAGGACCAGAATGTGTCTCTGGGCTGCTGGACAAGGTGTCACTGAGAAGACGGCCGCTGAGCACAGACCTGAAGGAGGTGAGTGAGCCCCACGTATATACTTGTTTCATGTGAGAAAACAAGTATAGGTGTCTGCTGTGGGAGAACGTCTGAAATGTTCAAGGAACAGCCAAGGGAGTCCGTGTAGGGGGAGGAGAGGGAACCAGGTGAAAGGTCATAGGAGAAGAGGTCAAAGAAGACAAGCAGGGCCTGTAAACCTTATGGGAACTTAGACTTTTACTCTTAATGAATTGAGATGCCAATGGAAGAATTTCAGCAGAGGATCTAACTGCTTTTTTTAAAGGACAACTGCAATTTCTGTGTGGAAAACACACTACAGTGGTAAGAGCAGAAGTATGAAAGCAGTCAGGAAACTTCCACGATCCAGGTGGATCAGGGTGGAAGCAGGAGGGTCACGGAGAGTGGTGAATTCATGGCTATATTTGGAGGCAAACAAGGCATCCTGGGCTGTGTGCATCAACAAGGTGCAGAATAGGACAACTGGAATGAGACAACATATGGGTAGAGCAAATTGACGGTGGAGCACGGAACGAGGGGTGGGATGGAGGGGAAATGTGGGGGGTTGGAATGGGAATGGTGCCGGGGAAAAAAGGACAAGGAACTAGGTTTTGAACCCGTTAAGTCTGAAATGCCTGTTAGACATTCAAGTGCAGATGCAGAGCAAGCAATTGAATGCGTATGTTTGTAGTTTGCGGGAGAGGTATGGGTTGGAAATAAAATTTGGGAATAATCTGTATGTAGACGTTAGTAGGCTATGAGACTAAATGAGACCACATAGGGAGTCAACGTAAACAGAAAACTATAAATATAAGGAGAAGAGATATAAGAACTGAGCCCTGGGCTGCTCCACTGCTTAAAGGTTGGAGGAACCAGAAAAATAGACTAAAATAGAGCTTCCTGAAAGTCAATTAGAAAACCAAGTAAGAATGGTGCCCTGAAAGAAAAAGTGAAAAAATTAAGTGTTTTAAGTATTAAAAATCACTGATGAGTCAAAAAAGTATGATGACTTAATCCCTGGATTGACCAATACAAAGATCAATGGCGATGCTGGTTATTGGCTCAAGAAGAAATGGAAGAAGATAAATTGGGGATAATGCATGCAGAAAAATGCTTTATTGGACTTCCGTGAAGACCAGTGGGAAAGTGGGGCAGCATTTCCAAAGAGAAATGGGAGTAATGTAAGGGTTTTTGTTTCTGTTTTTGTTTTTGTTTTTGAGAGGAGATATAATAACATGTTTTTAGTTGATGTAAAAGATCACGTAGGGAAGGGAAATCTGCTTTGCAAGGGATTGGTCATAATGATTCACCATGGAATTTAAACCTAATAAAAAAGAGATGAGGATGTGAGAATGTATAAAACTCGCTCCACACCTCAGCCTAGGATGCCAGGTAAGGGCAAGAGTACAGGAGTCAGCCGAGCATACCTGGCTTGGAATTCCAGTTCTGTACCTACAAGCGATGGGACTTAGGCAAGTTATTGACTTCTCTGTATCTCACTTTTCTCACGTCTCAAATGATAATAATAATTGAACCATCCTCAGATAGTTGGTATGAGAACGAATTTAGTTAATGTTTGCAAAGGACTTAGAAGAGTAAGTGTAATATCATGTTTGTTTATACACATATGTACACATATATATTCACACATGTATATACATCTCACATGCACAGATAAATAAATCCATTCCTAGTGATATTCTTCTTACCTGAACTCTTTTTGTTCCTTTAGTCCAAATAACGCTACTAACCATTTGCTAATTGTCTGCTACACCAGGAACACTTCTGTAACAAGAATGTAAACTAGGTTCCTGAACTAGAAAGTACAGTTATAACACAGCCCTGGTACAGACCTGCTGCATGTTCAGTTTTATTATAACTCAAACTCCTCAGCTCTAAAAAGAGTAAAAATAAATTTGTTGCCTAGTGTTTTTTGAGTAGTAAGTGAATAAGACATATAAACCACTTTGGCCAGTACATGTAACCTGCTATACAGTTAATTAAGGATGGCTATTAGTATTGTTATGGTACCCTTAGATTTTGGCACCTTGGCTGATACAGATATACTGTGGGAAAGAATGAAATCCAGAGATTAAACTTCTTTCTTTTGCCAGCCTCTCCCATTCTTATCTATATTTCACGTTGAAAGAAAAAACTTAAAAAAAAAATGACATTCACCAGAGAATGAAAGGATTTGCATCATAATGGGAACGACAGACCGCTTAGTCCAAAAATGATCGTTATCTGTGATGAATGCTATAACATTTCTGGTTTTGGCAAGTAGAATGGAATGCAGTCAAAAACAGTTATTGATAACAAAACTGTATTCCATGTTTAGCAATTTTTGCATGTTTGTTTGGGGCAGTTCATATTTGTTGAACCCAAACATCTGTAAATGACCTAGTAAATGCATTTGCGTGGGAAGGATAAAGTACAGAGGAGAATAAACGCAAAGACCTAAATTTTATGCTGAATGTTCACATGTTGTAGTCCTAATCTCCAGTATGATGGTATTGGAAAGTGTGAAATGATTAGGTGATGATGGTGAGCCCTCATGAATGGTATCAGTGCCCCGATAAAAGAGACCCTAAAGAATTCCCTTCCCCCTTCCACCATGTGAGGACACAGGAGAAGGCCATCTGGGACCAGAAAGTTGGCTCTCCCTAGACGGTGAACCTGCCAGCCCCTTGATCTTGGACTTGCCAGCCTCCACAAATATGAGAAATAAATCCTGGTTGTTTAAGCCACCCAGTATGTGGTGTTTTTGTTAGAGTAGCCCAAATGGACTTAGATAGTAAGGCACCTACAGAGATTCCCGAGTAGCAGAAAATAAGTGGTCAATGAAGAGTCAATTTAACAATGTTTCTGGGAGAAAATACTGCTAGACTAAGTGTCATCATAGCCAAAACTACATGGGCCAGTTGGGCAGTGTCCTCAGGATACCCTGGTTGTTCAACATGCAAGCTTCCATATTGGGACTTTTTCAATATCTGACTGATTTGGGGCTGGATTGCTAGTTTGGAGGAGAATTCCTGAATTGGCAAGGTTGACATAATTAAGTAAAAATGAACTCTTAGGTAAAGAGGAAACCAAGAACTAACAGTTTTTATCCAGATGTCATCTGGAAAGCATCTTCAGGGATTTTTCAGAACTGAAATTGTTTTCTTGTTTACATGACTCTGAAACAAACTGGGGTGACAGAAGGAGAATTTAGAATGAAAAAATGGGCAATGTCCTTTGTTTACTGAATAGAGATATAAGTCAAAAACAATCCTGCAATTCCTCACTACTGTAAACATCATGTGGAAGCATTCCCACAATGAAGAAATTATAGTTCAGTATAATTAAAAACAATTTGCACTAAGTAGTAAACAAACAACAAAAAAAGAGACAGCAACTCGAAGTGGGATTATTATAAACTGCAGTTGAATTTTATCTGATAGAAGGTAATGGGTATCTGCATTTGACAAACTTGTTTTTTTTATCTGTGTGGTGTTAGACAAATATGTAGTCTTAAGAACACCATTTTGTGCGTATTGACTATATAATAGATATAAATAATTCTAACATATTTGCCTTACAGTGTTGTTGTAAAGATTATAAATCACTGTAAATGGTCTAGCATAATATTTGGCACATAGGAGTCTCCATGGATATTTGCTGTTTTTGTGGAACAACATTTTAACAAAATTCATATATAACAGGGGAATCCAAAGTAAGTGGGAACCAACTGTCTCCAACAAGGAAAATTAAATTGGAGCAGTATTATTTTTCTTCTCAGCTCCTGGTAATTAGAGGCTGGTTGTATGGCTCAGGTATAACTAAATGGATGCCCCTGTCCCGTATATGAATTTTGAAAGAGGGAAGCAAAGGTGTAAGTCAGAAATATTTGCAGAGCACAGTGGTTCTCAACTGGGGCCATTTTATAACGTCTGGAGAAATTTTTGATGTCAAGAGTCAGGAAGTGCCCCTGGCATCTATCTAATGGGCAGAAGCCAGAGAAGCTGCTAAATATCACACAATTTACCAGAAAGCCCCACAAACCAAAGTCTGGCTCAAAATGTCAGTATGTCCTGAGGTTGAGCAGCTCTGGAATAGCCCTGGTGGCAGAGTGGACAATGCAGCATCACAGAAGCGGGAGTCAGGAGGTGGCAGGGAATGCCTAGTGGTCTGGCTAGTCTGCGTTGTCCTGAGCAAATGGCTTCTGTGACAACCTTTTGGCATCTTGAATGTACTTTATCTCCTGGACCATCTGCTTGACCTCCACACCTTCGTTTCTTATTTAATTTTGTGAGCTACATGACACAAAACCCTCTTAAAGCTTAAGTTAATTAATTTTCATATTAGCCATCCAGAAAACCTGATTAGTAGTGACAGTCTGTCAATAGCATTTAGCATTACTATTATTAGCATGAGTAATATTATTATTAATAATAAAGTCATTAGAAGGAGGGAGGATGTAAGCTATTTTTTAAACAATATCAATAAGTACTTAATAATTGGTTAGGGAGTGTACACATGATGTTCACTTTATTCCCTAAAGCCACTTTGTGAAATAAGCATTAATGTCTCTATTTAAAAAGTGATGACGCTGAGTCAGCTCAAAGTTATCCAGCTAATATGTATCAGACCCAAGTTACAAATCCAGATCTTTTCCATTCTAAAGCAGTTCTTCATTTAACCATTTGATTTCTCTCTCTTTCTCTCTGTCTCACACACACACACACACACACACAGTAAAATTACATCACACTCTCTGCATAAATCACCAGTAGCTTTCCAGGTGTCAGATACAGTCAATTTGACAATTCCTCTTTTTGTTTGGTCTCCACTTAGCCCTTCTCTAAGTCAGCAGGCTCTTCTAACTCTGTCTTCTAACTCTTGAAATCTGGTGTTTGTGCAGTCCTCATCTTTGTCCCTTCTCTTTTCATGCCACACACTCTCTGGATAATCTCATCTACACTCTGCCATTGACATGTCATGATGTTTTAAAAGTTTAATTTACATTAATGCTCATTATT